CATTAATGTATCTGTGTGTGTATGTGTGTGTGTGTGTGTGTGTGAGAGAGAGAGAGAGAGAGAGAGAGAGAGAGAGAGAGAGAGAAAGAGAAAGAGAAAGAGTTGTGTGATTGTGTAAGTGAGCATTTGGTTACTTTAGGACTAATTTTACTTTCTACTTTTTACTTTGAAAAATGTCAGTTCTTTAGACTTGATACTGGATAATTGTGTATGATGGGTGTTGTACTATTATAGTAGATTTAATAGCATCTTTGATACTCATTAGGTGTGAATAACACCCCTTGTACCCCAATTGCAATAACTCCATTAGCATTACTAGGTGTCTTCTGGGAAGGAGGTGGAGGCACTATCACTATGTTGGTTGAGAATCACAGGTCTACACCCAATGATTAATAAGATTTTATTACATTTGATTTTGTGTTAGCTGAGAATTTAAGAGCATGATACAGATATCATCTCTAAATACTTTTGCATATGTCTTAAAGGGATAAAGACAATCTATGTATCCACAATACAATTTTTGTACTTAGAAATACTACCAGCAGTAATTGTATAATATTACATATATTCCATATTCATTTTTTTAATTATTAAAATGTTTTTAGAATGGATTTTGGGTTGTTTAATCATAGATTATGCATTGCATTTGGTTATTATTGTGTTTTGATTTCTTTTTGCCAAGGCTGATGTCTTTGCCTATTTACGTCTCAGTTAAGTCTTGTCCATTTGTTGTGTAAAGGGGCCATATTCCATATTCTCTGGATGCTCCCTAATGATTATATATGTGTTTAAAATACCAGGAAAAGATTTGCTAATAGTACCATGGGTTGCTTTATATTTCCTACTGAGTCTCTCTGCCTAACACATTTGTGTACCTCACAGTGCCAGGTATATAGCGGGTGCTCAGAAAATACTCACTGATTTAACACTCAAGGCAGGAGATTGTATTTGATTGGTTCTTTTTCTGGTCTTAGTCAATTAATAAGGAGAGATGAGAGAGGTTAAGAAGAAGAAATTGGCAATTTAACAATGTCCTAGCAGTTGATTGCTATAATTCCTCCCACCAGGTTCTGGAGGTTTACAGGCCCTTTAGAGCCATAGAAAACATAAGAAACAAATATATCAGAACTAGTTCCTACTTCATGGCTAAGAAAAATATAAACCATCAACTTTCTATCATTTCTGTGCAGTGTAACAGTGATGTACAGTCTCCAGGATATAAGCATTGATAGAGCATCTCTGACTCATACAGACCCAGGGGCTTAATCAGGGGTGCAGCAGTCCCTCCACGTCAACATACAGCCAGGGCTGCCCTAGTGTTTTATGAATAGCACTTTAGTTTATAAATATCTTCTCATCGGATTCTGAAAATTCTAGTGCAGTTGACAGGAAAGACCTTATTGTTCCATTTTCATAGCTGAGGAAACTAGGTCTTAACAGAGTTATTGTTGAAGGTTACTTAGGTAATATGAACTAGAGCCAGTACTAGATCCTGGGTCCTCCCAACACAGGCCACAGTACCTTCTGAAGAGCAGGAGATACAATTATTGGACCACAAAACCAGGCAGAATCTAAATGCCAGACCCTTGACTGATGTTATCTCAATAGCATTCTCATTTGCTTATGAGGAAACAGAGATAATTCTTCTGATTTTGCTTCCTTAGTTATAATCTTGGGATTTTAACTGGTATGGCAATGTCTCAAGATTGTTCTAAGGATAAATTGAGGGATAGATGTATGATTTATAGTACAATGTGAAAATAATTTTAAACCCAAGAATGATAGACAAAGAGTTTATTGTTTATATAGGATTAATGCAATCTTCTTAAAGATTAACTGGCCTGTTGTGTTATTTTATGCAGTTTTTATGGAAAAGAGCCCTCAAAGATCGCTTTAAATATGTCCGAAGACCCATAGAAGATGATGAACAAGTTTTGAGAAATAAGAGCAAATTTGGACACCGAAGAGGTCAGACAAGAAAAACTCTTGCTGATACAAGATTTGATGAAATTCAAACTGTCCAAATAAAAGTAAGATTCAATCTTTCAGTGTTATCATGACTTTGACTGATTGACTAAGGATAATAAATAGTGCCATTCAGAATCACTAAAACAGAATATGATATCTTAAATTCTGAGGTGTGGTCAAGAACTTGTACAATCAGTGGCTCACATGACTAAGCACGGGAGGATATTTCCAAAAGAGGAATTCCAAAAATAGTTTGAGGCAAGAACACTATTGAATATTTCATTGTCATTTTTCCTTTCAAAAAATCTGGAAGATCGCTACAGCTCTGAGTCCTTGAATGATATTGCTTTCTCTCTTTCTACAGTGCATCCGGGTTCTTGTTGCACGGACTGCTAGAGAAAGTGTTTAATACACTGCACGGGTAGGGTGGCCTCAATCTCAAAGTCTTAGGGAGTCAGCAACCAACATGCAGAGTTGCAGGGCTTCACGCTGGCCTCCCCCACCTGCTGGGCCAGAAGAGACAGTGGGAAACTTCAGGGTGAGAGGCCAGGCAAAGCCTAGAGACTCTAACCTCCCTGACAAGGAGGCTGGTTTGCTGTGTTCCTCAAAGTATCTCTTAACTCCTTTAAAGTCCCAGAAGAAACAATGAGATGATGCTGCCTGCTAATAAAGCTCCTTAGGAGAGCTATCCAAATGACCAAATGGAGAAGCTAACTTCCTTGTCTTCCCAATTCTATTTTCTACCTTAATCCATATGAATAAATAAACCTTAACTTTTTGCCCTACTCAACATTTATGTTCATGAATTTGTTTGATGTAAATATTCTAGTTCCTTTTACAGGTAGTATACTTATTTGATCTTAATAGAACAAGCTATTTGGTCAGCCCAGTTTTATTAGTGCCAGTCATAAGCTCTAGGGGACAGGCATATTTTTAACATGTTTTATAAGCCATTCATCCCCGCATCATGCATAATGCAAAATTTTGAGTGCGTGCTTACTTTAGATATTTAATTATACCTTTCAATGATACCTTCAAATGATGGGTTAGTTAAGATAATATGATTCTATAGCTGGTCTTTGAAGAAAAGATAAGATAGCTAAAATGTGCCCTAAATTTAGTGGTCTCAGTGTTTAAAAACTTTGGTTACAAAATCTAAAAAATAAACTAAATTCATGATAAGATAGAATTACATTGTTTTAACATATCTCTCATATTCTTAAGAAGTCACTTTGAAAAGGAACATAATTTTATATAAATTAATTTTTCTAAAATTTGATTTTCAGTGCACTTCATAGGTGAATACTAGAAGTCATGGTGAGTCCATGAGACCAGAGGTCACCATGAAGGATGCAAGATTAAATTGAAGCTCGTTGTTCACATCTGGATATAACACTTTTCTTGGCAAACAAATCTAATAAGAAAGATTTGCTTTTCTGTCCCTTATAAACAAAGCTTCAAGTGGTTGATTTTTAACATCGGCAGCCTCCTTGTTTGTGATCTTGTGTTCCATAAAGCCAAAAGCTCTAAAGGATGGAGAAAAATGTACAATGCACTGTTACAGTATGTTTCTGTGCTTTGTATCCTCTCTGGTGGTGGAGCAAATATATATCCACTAAGCATGTGTGGGGTAAGGGGCTTTGCATGGTGACTTTATCTCATAGAATTTCATCTTTACACTCATTTCCTAAATTATTTTCAATCCCATTTTGACTTTCTGGTAGGTTCTTGTTAATATTTTTAAGATTTTGGAAAACTCAAAGTATATTTGGATTAAGATAGCCTTAGGTAATGTGCATATCTTTGAAACTCTTTGCCTGGGCACAATATTTCCAGGAAAAAAATTATGTCACATGCTGCTGAGATGGAAAATCTTGATACAACCAAGAAATACTAGTCTGTCCATGAATGCAAGGGCAGGGAAGCAGATTTGACTAACTGGAGAGAGATCCTGCGGAGCCAAGAGGAGAAGCAATTTTTACTGTTTGCTTTGGTTTGTTTCTGCTGTTTTTCCTTTGGGGGAAGAATTAAAGATAGATGTCTTAAGGATGGAGAATGGATGTCTTTGTCTTGGGCTATGAACTTCCACAGATATCCCGAGCTGCTGCAGTGTTGTGGCTCTATCAAGACACAAGGTCTTTTACCCTTAACCTTCTCCCTGGCACAATGTCCTGTTAGTTGAGCTCTGCTTAAAGTACATTCTCCTTAGCTACAACACTAGAAACATCAGCAATGCCAAAGCACCACCCAGGCATCAGTATGTCTTATACTCATTATTCCACTGCTGAAAAGACTTTCACCATCGTATATGGGTGACAGGACTTGTCAGAATCCTACACTATGTGTCTAGAGCAGTCCACAACATGCTGGCTACCCTGCAATATTTAAAAATGTCTTTTCAACTTCCAGACCCCACCCTGCTGTGTGTAGAGTCCCACCATCAATACAGAAACTGTGTGGTCTCTTCCTAGGCATCTGACTTTTGTGTTTAAAAAGAAATAAGTTAAAACAAGAGAAAAGCCTAACACAGGGCAATAATATGCCATGAGTAAGCAATAGATAAGATTAATTTGCATCTACATAATTTTATCCCCATGAGTTGATAAATCTGTTTCCTTTTCTTAATTGTCTTTTACTATAAACATTATTATGTGTTTATGAAGAGGTATAATTAGATTCTTAAAACAAGTAGATTTAAGTTCAGTAATTTTGTGAGTTGCTAATATCCTGTTTGAATGATGAAAACGTTGGTTTTAAAAGCTCATTGGAATTGTATAGACCCACATGGCCGCATACTGGATTCAACTTAAATTGTAGTAAATTGTGTAAAAAGTCTCAGGTGCTAAAGATAAGTCAACCAAATGCCTCACTTAGTGGCATACTTTTCTTGCTGTGGGCTAAACATTTCTCTGATTTGATTCCTTTTCATCCTCATTCCTCTCTGCCTGTCTTCTCACCTTGCCCGCGGACAGCCCTCGAAAGTGTTTCATCTCAATCTCTTTGTTGGCAAGTGTTCCCAGACATGCACTGTCACCCTGAGGGCTGCCTGGTTCAGTTTAATGGGAATGATATTCTGTATCTCATGCACACTTCACTTTCTTTTTTTTACTGGAACTCTTGTCAGATTCATTCCTGCTGCTGTGTGCATTGTTGGCCCATTGATTCTCCCCACTGTAGAGTCCTCCCCAACTCAAGTTCTGTTCCTTGCCACTCCAAATCGCACTGCAGAGACCCATTATGTACATTTGGCAGTGGAGCTGTGACTTATTCCTTTGGATGGCACAGCCCATAGTGGAGATGCACATGTTAGTCTGGTCAGTTCCTCTCCAGAATGACTTTGCTGGTCTCCCTACAGCAGTGCATTCCCTGTATGCCCGCCAACCCATGGCATAATGTGCCTTACAAAATTTTGCCAAGTCTCATAGGTATAAAGCGTATCTTCATTCTTGCATTTCCCTGGGTGACCGATGACTCTGAGCATCTCTTCATATGTGTTCTAGTCTTTTGAGCTTCTAGAAAATTACTTCTTTATATCCGTTGCCCAGTTTTTAATGAGTTGGCCTCTTTTTCTTGTTAATTTGTAGGAAGCAATTTTCCCTATGCCCTGAGTCACAGAGATACTCTTTAGTCCAAGTTGATAATTTTAGTTTTCATGTTTAGATCTCTGAATTATCTGGAGCTCATCTCTGTATATTAAATAGAGTTCTACATATGTGAGCCACATTCTCAATATCACACAAGCCATCCTCTCCTTGGTTTGTGGTGCCACGTTTATTATACACTAAGTCCCAGTAGAACTACTAGAAATAGAGATGCTGAGGATCCCCTTATTCTACCAGTCTATGAATCTCTTCTTATGCCATTCCACATTGCATTTTGCTACTTAATATTTACCACTTAGTGTCATTGGTGGAGGGTCATTTTCTGTTGCCGTTGCAAAATGTATTGTGTCAGGGAAACCACAGTAGATGGGATCTGGATCTGTTCCTTCTCATTTTCCACATCAGAGGAAGAGCAATGGGTCTTCTTCTCATGAGTGTGCATAGCATCTGCCTCCTCACAGAACTGTGACCTGGGCGAGCAATGCTCTGTGTAAGTGGGAGTCTTGGGCCACAAGCAGGCCCCAAGTGTCTGCCAGCACGAAGGGCATGGGACAAGCCTCTTCTTGCTCTTGAGGAAGGGCTGCTGTGACAGTGTGGCGCCGCCCGATGGGAGCCCCTCCTGCTGTTTTCCCGACCTTGGGATGAAGACTGCAATCTGCTGTCCATGCAGGACTGGACTTTGGAGCTCCCCACTCTCCCAGCCTGATGTCCATCCTTTCCTGGGTGTCTCCTCATCCAGAGGACACTTTGTAGACCCTCAAAGGCCTCCACTAGGTACCTCACTGAAGCGTCAGGGTGGATACATACTGTTTGAAATGCTCACTACCTCTTTACTACTTTTTGATAATGCATTTTCTTTTGTTCAATTACTAAAGTTCCTTTCAGCCAATTAGACTCCTAATTTACTATAAATTTTCATTGATGAGAAATAAGCTTCATTGGTAAGAGCGATTCCTTCAACATTTCCTGAAAAACAATGGATCAGTTTTTACAGATGTTCAGCTATTTAAGTGAATGTAGATCTCTTCATCTATTTTGAAAACATACTGCTTTGTCTTTATGGAGGTAATTCTCTCTAAATTGGGTGTTTTGTAAAAATAAAAATTGTGTTCTGAAACAGTACAGGGGAGACTTTGAAATTCTGGCTGCAGCTACAAATTTGCTTCTCTTTCCCCATTTATATGGTTTGTTTGTCTGTTTGCTTGTTGTGGGTGCTGAGGGTCAAACCTAGGGCCTGGTGCTTGCTGGAGAAGCACTGGACCCCAGTGAGCTAACCTCCAGTCCCTTTTGTCATTTTGTAGGTTTTTTTTTCCTCTAATTTGAGTGGAAGTGTCTCAATTTGGAAGATTTTAATGTTACTTTTAGGAACACAGATTATCTTATCTTTTTCAATTAATTTAGTACATTTTGTTCCTTTTTTGCATTAAGAGTTTTAAACCAGTGAGTTAGCTTCATTACAT